CCACATAAGAAATCTTGCTGCAGAATGCAAAATACAGAACAACACATAACAAAAATTATATTCCTCTGGAAATAGGTGTCAAAGTTTAAAAGGAACTGGTTTTATGGTCATAAAAAAATTTCCCTACCAAATTACCTCTACTCACAGGCAGAATAGTTTGTAGTACTTAAAAGAGCAGACTGGAACCAAACTGTTTTGATTCAAATCCCAGCTCCCCTAATTTCCACTGTGTAATTTTAGCAAGTTACTCTGTACCTTGGCTTCGTTATCTATAAAATGAACATAATTCACAGCATTGCTGTGAGGATGAAATCAGTTAGTACATGTAAAACAATCAAAATAGTGCCTGCACACAGTAAGATTTCAATAATAGTTAAATTCCTAACAGTTTGACTACTTACTGGAAAACTGGTCAATATATGTCTTGATTACACTAAGAATCTAATGAAACACAAGTCACAACCAACTATACCTTTCTCTTTTGTACAAATATGCAACTGGATGCCAAGACCTTTTCTGCCTCTCGAATGGCTTCTGAACCTGTTCTCACATTCTCTAGTTAGGTCTTCCTTTGACTGCTGCAAAGAGTCAGGCTGACTGAGGGGCATATGCACTGGGAATGTCCTACAGGCATCTCGAACTCCTTATGTCCAAATTTAAACTCATCACCTTTTCCCTCCAAATCAATTGGCTCTTCCCTCTGTATTCCCCATTTGAGTCAGTGGCACTATGATCCACTTAGTCAAGCAAGCCCAAACCTAGGAATCATCTCCAGAAGAGCCTGTCCTCTCCTACCTAGCTGGTTAATGTCTATTCATCCTTCAAGACAGCCTGGGCATCATCTCCTCCAGGAAACCTCAAGCCTTAGGCTGAGCAGGGTACCTTTTTCTGAACTTCCACAGCACCCTAGATATATCTCAGTTACAGTATTTACCACATTATAATAAAACTGTTTGCGTCTGTCTCCACAGCTAGGTTATAAGCCCCTCAAGGACAGGAACTGCCCTTCACCTCCACTGTGTCCATCAAAGCACCTGGGACCTAAGGAGGCCCACAACTAAGCTTATGAGGATTGAAATAAAACTTCAAGCTGCCTTTCTGATCCATGCTCTATACTACCACAAAATCATCTTTCTAAAGTACAAATCTAATTATGGTGCCCACCTATTTATAAAAACCTTCAGTCTCACCCAGTGCCTATTGAAAAAATTCCACACTCCTTTTCCAGCTGTATACTCTCTACAGCCTACATTTCCAGACTCACAGGCCACCATGCCTTTAAGCTATCTTGATAGAACAGTATGAACAAACATTGCCTCTACAAGTTATCTTCTCTGTCCTACTCAAAGACAACTGGTCACCCTTTATATGTTCTGTTCCTTATGCATATATTCACTCAGAGTTACTGTACTATACAATATACTTTTTTTTTTCGGTGTGTCTTGCCCTCACCTTCGCAGACTGTGATCAACTTGAAGACCAAGACTATATATCATTGCTTCATTATATCTCCCACAGGTATATAACACAGCACTTGGTATATAGTATATACCCAATAAATATTTGCTGTATGAAAAAGCCAGATATCCCAACACTAGGAAAACCTAAAATATAAGTCCCATTAATAGGTCATTAACTTCATTTTCTCACACAGATGAAAGAATAGAATGTTGTTCCAACTAAGAAAAGTAGAAGGTAGAAGCAATACAAACTCAGTTTTAAGATTAAAAAAACCCCACACACAATTTTCAAACCTTATATGTAGGAATGTCATTCAGTTAATATGTACTAAGCATCCACATCATGCAAAAGACCTAACCAAGCCAGGCACTATGGGGACATAACGAACGAAACACAAATCCTGCTCTACAGGAACGCAAATCCAATGGCAGAGGAAGGGCACACTTAAGGAGATCAAGGTAGCTGTCTGAGCAAGAAGTGGCAAGAGCTTGAATTAGAGGGCAACAGTGAGAGTGGAAAGCAGGCATAGTTAGCTTTAGATGGACTGTTAGTATATGACACTGCAGAAGCAGATTCTTGATCTTGAAACCAGCATTTCTGAGACAAGAGTGAGGCTGCGTTGACAGAGGAAGAGCTGAGACTGGGTTGACAAAATGTCCTATCTTCCTTTCTCATGCCTCCAAATAACCGTTTAAGAAAGGTGGCAGCAGGATGTGGTGGAACGAGCACTGGGCTGGGATTTAGGACACCCAAGTTCCAATCATGGCTGTACCATCTGTGATATGTCACCTTGCAGGGCTCCCGCTATATAACATGAGACCTGGCCATCACCCATTCACAGCGCAGGTATTCTCTGAGTACCTATCATGTGCAGGAACCACCTAGGGGATACACATGTGTCAAGAAGAAATAATAATCCCTGCCCTCCTGGAGCTCCAGACTAACAGGGAAGTCGGACCAGACAATAACACACAGAAACAGGCAGGCAACAGGTGAAGGACAGAGGACCCAGATTCAGACCTGGAAACTGTCCCAGTTCTGACACTACACTTGGCAGAGCACAACAGTGTACAGCGTTAAGAGCATGGACTCCAGACCCAAAATATCTGGGTTCAAATCCTGACTCCAAGGCAACAGTTGTCACCTGAGGCAAGTTCCTTAACCTCTCTGTCTGACTTCTCTCATCTGTCACCTAGGATTAATAGTTCCTGCCTCTCATAAAGTTGTTGTGATTGATCCGTGTAAAGTATTAGGACAGTCGTAAGCACCGAGTGTCTGCAAGGAGTATTTGCCGTTATTATTAATCATTAACAATACGGCCTGGGCTCCCCGCGCCCATACTCACCGCTTGCTCGTTCCTCATCCCCACGTATCTGATGCCCAGTTGCTGGGCGGCAATGGCGATTTCGGTCACTGGGATGCCCACGATGCCAAACATGTACTTCACATCCTGGGGGGGGGACCAAGAACGGGGATAAATGCCCAGGTCCCCGCTACACGGTTCCCTCCGGGGCGTAGAAGGAAATCCTCACGCGAACCTCCCCCCTCCGCACCCCCACGGCAGTCCGGGTCCCCAACATGCTCGGCCCCCGCCGGCTGCCGTAGGAGCCTTCCCTCGGGCAGGGCCACCGTACTTGCGCTTTCAGAGCCTGCGCGATGACTGTCGCCCCGGACACCTGCTCCTCGCTTTCGTCGCCGCGCTCTGCGAAGTGACTCCCCGACATCTCCCGCCCAGAAGCGCAACACCCCCTTGCAGTCGGCAGCGGGCGGTCACGGAGTCGCCCTGCGAAAGGAGCCCGGGAGACACCCCCTCTGACTGACAGGAGGAGGGCCACCAATAGCTCTAAATAGCGGCGAGCAAGGGGCGGGGCTACAGTGAGTCCCCGCCCCGGGTGGAGTGAGAACGTAAACACCCGCTCTCTCCAACCAGAAGCTTGTTTGGCTTTTGTACGCTCTGCCATTCGCGGGCCCGGCGTCGGGAGGCGGGGCTAGCAGGAGGCCGCGGCCTATGCCGAGCAGGTAAGAATCCGAAACTCGGACGCCTCGCCGGAGGACTGCTATTCCCCAGACATTCGGGGCCGCACGGTCGCGGACGAAGGGAGGCTGGGGGAGGGGCAGAGGGGACGTGACGGGGGGGCGCGCTCCCAGCCCCGGCTCCGCCCGGCGCGGGGATCCTGGGACTCGGGGCTGCGGGCGGGCGCCGCAAAGGCTGCTGGGACCAGGGCTGGTTGGACGGTTTCCGGTGCAAGGCGAAGTGGTTGTCGGGTATTGTAGTCCGGCTTTCTCGGCCCCCGTGTTCTAGGCTGTCATTTACACGTGTTTCCATGTATGCTTTCCTAACTGTGGATTTGCAACCTGTGAGGCATAGTAACACACGTTAATGAAGTCCGTAAGCAGTGTACGCTTTACCCCACTATTACAGATGAGGACAGTGTTTCCCAGCAGGAGATAAAGGGCCTTACCCAGAGCCATTGGACCCCGGCCAAGCCCAGACCCCCGCTCGTGTACTCTGTTCCCTGAGGCCACACGAGGTAAGAAGGGCCCCTTGAACCTGCCCTTGCCAGTAACCCACATTACTCTCCACTCTTGTCGGTTCCAAAGTAAGTAAATGTGGGTTTTCATGATTCTTGGATTCATCCCCTGTGAACAACCAGCCCCTGCAGCCGATAACCTTTTAAAACACATTTTTGAGTGAAAAAGATGCTTGCAATGTGCGATTTCTTAGGCTGTGGACTCAGGGTCTTTAGACCATCTGCTCAGTAACAATCTCCAATCACAAAGAGTGTAACTTAAGATATTGGAGGACTTGGAGTGTTTTAAAGCACTAAGACCAGAAATACGGGGAAGGTAAAGGGACAGGCCAGTGGGTCATGGGCAGTGAAGTGAATGAAAAGCATTGGGCGTGAAAGCATTTCTAAACCCAGAGATTTCCAAACAATAGCCCTGGGCCCTTCCTGAAGGTCTTCCCCTGTGCATTTCAAGCCCTAACCCCAACCCCAAGCTGAGGAGAGTGAAATGGCTGCCTCCCTAGAAATGGGGACCGAATCTAAAGGTAGCCTAAGAGGGAGATTTCTTTGAAGTCTCAGAGTTCATCTAAAAAATAAATGCAGATTTACATTCTACTCCAGAATATATACATATTTTAATATAAATGATCTCTCTATTGAGGTAAAATAAGCATAGAATTAAAGGTACAGATCTTAAATTTAGATGAGTTTTGACAATTGTAGATATCTATGTAACCACCACTTAAAATAAAAATGACATTGCTCTGGCCAGTGTGGCTCAGTTGGTTGAAGTGTCGTCGGTGCACTAAAAGGTCACAGGTTCCATTCCCAGTGAGGGAACATGCCCAGGTTGTGGGTTTGATCCCCAGTCGGGCACCTACAGAAGGCAACCAATCAATGTTTCCCTGTTACGTCGATGTTTCTCTCTCCATCTCCCTCTGTCTCTAGAATCAATTAGAAAAAGAAAAAATAAAAATGACATTTAAAACAATTTACCTGTCAAGTCAAATTGGCGTTTCAGAAACATACAAAGCCTTCTGTGGTTTTGAATAGTCCTTGGCACACTATCTCCTGTCCCTGTTTGAGAAATGTTAAAATCCGAAACAAATGGGGACCAGCGCTGAAAATTCCTTGAGCCGACAAAACCAGTTTAATCACTCAAACAAAGCTGAAGCTTATTTTTCTAGACTTACTTGACCCTGGTCCTTTCTTGCTTATGCCTCTGGAAATCATAAGCAAAATTAGAAGTTTCCTAAAGTTGATATGAGGTAACCACTGAAAATTCTAGTAATATAACCAGTCACTGTGAAGAAAAATAAGTCACTGCTTTCTCTCTATATAATCTGCTTTATAACATACCCCTGTGCTTTGGTCTGAGTGCTCCAGGTGTATAAACTCTTTTTAGGTTTATTCACAGTAAATATTTACATATTATTACTTCACCGATTCATTGGTTTTACTTATGTTATTTCTAAACTTTTGACAGATGCATGGACTCCATCCCTTCTATTATCAGTTCATGGGACCTTGTGTACACTTCTGTGTCAAAAGAATTACTGATAGAATCACTCAGTATAAAGTGTGGTGAAATCTGAACTATGAGCTGTAATAAATCCCCTGATTTCAGATTAACTGGTTTTGCAAAAGGATTCTGCCCTTTAGCAAAGGGAAAAGTCAGTGAGACTGTTTAAACTTGCTTTCGCCTTTCCACCTTTCAGTTCAGGGTACAAAGTTCCACTGTTCCCTTGGGTCTGATGATTCAGCAGAAGTGAGGAGAGTCCCTACCTACAGGATTAGCAGGCACTGCGGACAACTCCTTTAAATCCAATCATAATTACAACGTTAATATATACCCATGTACCCAGCCCCTAGCTTAAGAAATGCAGTGCAAATACAATGGATCTCCCTGTGTATCCCTCCCCCCTTCCAGCTCCTTCCCTATGCCATAGAAATTCACCACTATCTTGAATTTGGTGTTTATAATTCCCCCATTGTCCATTCTATAGGTGAATACAGAGACAGGAATAATTGCTGCCACTTTTGTAGTCAATCTACCAAAGTATCTATTATCTAAGCACCATTCATAGTATAGTCAGTTCTTATCCTAGTGATCAATAATGTCATATATCAAATTTCCATATACATGTGGTCTGTCTCTGCACTCTCTGTTCCAATCATACACAACCTTCATTTCTATATTTTTAAAAGAAGTCTTTATGTTGGTGAAACAAGTCCTTCTACTTTGTTCTTTTGAAACCATCTCGTCTATTGTAACTAATTTCCTATTGCTGCTCTAACAAATGACCACAAACTTAATGGCTTAAAACTATATAAATTTTATTATCTCACTATTCTGTAGTTTAGAAGTCTACGATAATGTTGAGATGTTGACAGGACTGCGTTGTTTCTGGAGGTTTGAGGAAAGGATCAGTCCTTGTTCCTTCCAGCTTCTAGAGGCTTCCCACATTCTTGGCTCCATCTTCAAAGTGAGCAACATCACGCTGCTACGCCTCTGATTCTCTGTCTTCTGCTTCCTTCTCCCACTCATAAAGACTAGTGATTACAGTGAGCCTACCCAATAAGCCAAGAGAATCTCCCCATCCCACAGTCAGCTGGTTTACGACCTTAATTCTACTTTGTGGTGTAACCTAACACACTCATAGTTTCTGGGGATTAGAATGTCAACTTCTGTGAGGGACCATTATTCTGGCTTCTACATCTATTCTTGGCCTTTTTCTCTTTCATACATATTATGGAATCAGTTTATCAAGTGCCATGAAATTCACTGGGATTTTGATTAGAATTACATTGAATTATGCATCAATGTTTTGTGCTAAGATCATGAAAAGAGAGACATGTGCCTTGTGATGAAAGAACACACTACCACCCATAGTCTTACCAGAGGTATGGAACCTGAGTCTTACTCAGTCTCCTGATCCACCTTCCAATTTTCAAGAAATACCAATTAAAGAGAAAAGTTTGTACCTCAGCATGCATGTGCAATAAGCAAAATCCATTCTGTTGGAAATCTGCAGGTCAAATGACCAGGCATCTTCAACAGATTGATTTTTAAAAGAATGGAAAAGGAATCTTAAAGAATATACCAATCTTTTTAAATTGGGAAGACTAAACTGTAATGCTTAGGGATGCACATAGGGTAACAATTTTTTTTTTTTTTTTAAGGAAGTGATAACTATAAAAGCCAGGGTAATGGTTACTTGGTCACTTATGGGTAGAGTTGCCAGATTTAGAAAAACAAAACAGGCCACCCAAGACTCCCAGTTAAATTTGAATTTCAGATAAACAATTATCTTTTAGTGTAAGTATGTCCTAACATACTTGTTTACCCAAAATTCAAACTTAACTGGCCCCTGTGTTTTATCAGACAAAATCTTGATTTTATTCAAGATGGTAATGCAGCTTACTTCCCAGCCTTCCTTATAGCTAGCAGTGGTCATGAGTCCCCTTGTGGGCAAAAACATTTACATGATGTCAATGGACAGAGTTTTTGGGAATTGAACTGAGTAATTGAACTGGCCAGATACCCACTCAACTTCTCCACTTAGCATGGTATAGTAAAACCTCGATATAATGCACTAATTTGGGCCAGAGGGTATCCTTTAAAGCTGAAAGTCCCTTATATAATAAAGTAGATTTTCTGAATGCATATGTTAAAAAATTGACAAATTAGTTTCCTTGTTTTTACTTATGTAAACACGTTTGTGTGATTAAAATTAAGTATATATGAAAAGTTTAATTTCACAGAAAAGTTTCCTGTATGTATTACTATAATTTTAAACTTATACTGAATAGACCTAGTAAATGCATGCATTCACCAGTCACTGTGAGTAAACAAATGCACAGGGCTGGGGCATGGCTTAGCACACGTGGGGACATTGGCTGGCACATGTTAAAACTGCTGCAGAAAATCATGCCAGGGGACAACAGAACCATGTACCACATGCGATGCAGTATGATCACATGCTAACCACTTGCTGAACATTGTTTACGAGCAGTGACTCTTGGATTGAAATATATAGATTGTAGTTGTGCATATGTAATTTATGTCGGCAAAATTACTACAGTGTTTTTTCCAACATATGGCCCATTTGCTAAAATTTGTTAAAAAATAACAGTGAATTAATAACAACAACCAAAAAAAACGCACGCCTGTTAATTTAATTATAAGCAAATCTTGGTTAAAAGCATTTAAAAATTAACAGGGTATTAATTTTCACATTTGACATATGGACTGGAAATTTTGTCTGTTAAGTCAAGGGTTTACTGTATTTTATATTTAAGGTTCTTTATCAGTTCTTTTGCCATAATTTTTCTACTCACCTCTTGGTTGGCAGAATTTTCTCTTCTATGCATTTTTTCCAAGAAAGGCTGATGAGAATACTATTTCCTGAGTTCTTGCATATTCAAACCTATTCTTTTTTAAAAAAAAAAAAAAATTGATTTCAGAGAGAGGAAAGAGGAGAGAGAAAGACAGAAATGTAATTGATCGGCTGCCTCCTGCGTGCCCCCTGCTGGGGATCGAGCCTGCAACCAGGGCAAGTGCCCTGACCTGGAATCTAGCAGCGATCTCCTGGATCCTAAGTTGATGCTCCATTGCTGAGCCACGCCCAGCCAGGCTATTATCTCTTATTTTTATACTTCAACCACAATTTGGCACAGTATAAAATTCCTGGTTCATATTTTCATTTCCCAAAGGACCGTATAGACTTACACTGGCATTGGCATTGTGGTAAAGTCTGAGGACAGCCTGAGTTTTTGCCCTTATAAATGCCCTTGATCTTTTCATTTGGATTCCCAAATGATTCTTACTTTATCTTTGAAAACCAGGAATTTTATTAGGCTATGTCTTGGTGTTGACATTCTGTTCCTTTCTTTCCTGAATTTTGGTGTGACCTTTCAGTCTATACATTCAAATCTGCTTTCATTTCTGGAGAGTTTTCTTCAGTTACATCTTTCAATACTTTTCTTGTTCTGTTAAGTGTTATCTATTGTTTATAACAAAT